GCACTGGCTCGGGTTTGTGCGCAATGCATGCCAAGATCCATGTGGAGGTTGCGCAGACGACCGCCCTAACATGAATTGATCTTGCGTGACGGCCTAACAGTCTGTTAGATTGAAATTTGGTGCCATTTTGTGCACCCGTTTTCTCCGACTCATTTAGCGCAGTCTCGTGGATTGCTACTTTCTCGCCATATCACAAGGCCAACGTGATCGTGTCGCACTCACGACCAACACAGAGTCGAGGCTTCCCCGCTCTTCTATGGCATAGCAAAAGATTGATTCGAGACACGCCGACAAACAGATTAGACGCTCGATCGAGGAGACTGGCATGAATGGGGCCTGGAACCGGCCGGATTGATGGCGGGGAAAGAAGCAGCGACAGGGGCTCACGGAACGATGCCAGCAGGCCCAACCAACACCTGCACGACCATGTACGGGTAATATAGCGGAGCCAGGATTGCTGCTGCTGGCATCAGCCAAGTTGCTCTAGCGCCGGCTGCAGGTCGAGTGCTCGGATACAAGCCGAGCCCATCCTTCTTTCTTCTTTGCATCTCGAGGCGATTCCAACTCCGCCACGGCGGCTCTCCCAAAGGGTTCGCCCAAAGTGTTCAGAGACGCGCTCCAGCTGCGCACCCGCTGCACTTTGAAAAAAATTCCAAAAGGAAGACACTGAAAATGTGCATGTGATTTTCACACACCAATGCACGTCGCTGCGGGTGGGAAACGCGCGCGCGCGCCGCTGGACGCACTGTCGATCCGGCTGCATGTCAGCTGTCGTCGCAAGGCGAGCTGGGCGTGTTGACGTGAGCGCGCGCTGTCGGACGACCGCCGATCGCAACTCGTCAATTTGAACGTTTGAGCGTCTGTCAACAAGCGTTTCGTCTCGGCACGCATCCGACTCACATCCACTCCAAGACGACGATGATGAGAGGAATGACAGGTGCTAGACGTTGCCCAGAGCGAAGGTCACAGCGGGACAAGGCGGCCGAAACGAGAGAAGCGGTAGAGCGGTCTAGTGCGGGCGGCGGGCGGCGGGCGCGCGTGCAGCGCTGCCTCCTCGCCTATGCATGCAAGGGCGCTTCTCGCGCCAAACCTCGAGCTGCCACCGCCTGTCCTCTGCCTCGTCGAGCGGCCTCCTTCGCAAGTAACCCCGCACAGTCGCAGGACGGCTCGCGCTGCCACGAGTTGGCGCTTAGAGCTCGCTGCTTCGACCCCCTTGCGCCCAACAAAGCGCTGCCCTGCGCGGCCCTGCGCTGTCCTGCGCTGTCCTGCGCTGTCCTGCGTAGGCGAGCCCGAGCGAGTGGTGTCTTCGCTTCGAAACGCTTGGATGCAGTCCGTCGATCCCCTCCTCTCCTGCTGAACAGCTCGAAGCCCCTTTCCTTTCCCTTGTCCGCTCAAACATCTCTCCACCTATCGACACTTTGACTCGTCCCCTCCCTCACCATCACCATCATCTTCACCACCACCATCATCGTCGCCTCCCCTCCTGCTCCCTCCTTCCCACCACCCTCGTCTCGGCATCACACTCTTTTGACGTCTCGTCTTCACCACACTCGTTTACCAAAGCTTCTCCTCGACATTCACACCACGGACAGCCTTATCGCAGCGCACCGCAGCCAACCAACACTACTCATCCAACAGCGACAACCTCGATCCCACCTGCACAGCATGGTCGGAGTGAAAAAGTTCTCGGCCATCGCGGCCGTCTCGATGGTCGCCGTATCGGGCGCAGCCGCATCGATCCAG